TGCATAAAGAAGGAAAAAAGATGGAGAACAGCAACGTTTCTCCTGAGAGATTCCCCTGGCATACTACTGAAGACAGTGCTGCTGTAGTGCACAAAACACAGGGACCAAAATTCCTGTCTATTATCACCTAGTATTTCCTTCCTGGTATATCTGAATAAGTGGTGGGTTTTTTCACTGCTCTTTTTTTCCCCTCTTGCCACCATTGTGGAGGGAAATGTCATTTCCATTTAACTGTCTGTTTCCTGTATTCATTTGTAACTTCCAGGCATATTGAAATGCTCTCTAAGGGCAATTGGCATTGCCTGGCTTTGGCTGATGCTGAATTTCACCAACAGTTTTCTGATTTTCTGTCCAGTTTTGTCACTCTGAGGTTCTTCTTGGTCCACTTCTATCTTGATTAATTTGAATGAAGCTGTCGTCTGCATTTTTCTACCACCTGTTCTCAGTTTTCAGGTCACTCACAATATTCCTCAGTAACCCTGAGTTACTGGTGTTACTATGTTTTTGAGCTGTACACATTCTGAAGAGTAGTTGTTCATTCTATACTAACATTTTCAGTTTAATCCACTTTCTCATTTGTGACACAACTTTTGCTGCAGGGATGTTGGTTTTCCAAGAATATCTCTGAAAAAAGTGTTACCTGAAGGTCTAGATTGCCAGCTGGTTAATTCTCAAAGCTGTTGCAGAGGTATTTTTAAAGAGGTCCACTAGACAAAGGACCAGGTCTTGTTCAGGAGTGAGAGCACTGACTGAATTGGTACTGTAAGTTAATTATTACTATATTGCTGTGTATAGTTTATACAGTTTTCGTTCTTTAAACTCATAATTCTAACTCAAATTTCCATGGGCATAGGGATCAGACCATTGAGTCAGGGAATTGAGGAGCTTCCCTTCAGAGTGGATTTACTCTTCCCTCATATCCTTCATGGGTGAGCTCAGTCATTTGTTGTAGAGAGCCATTCAGGGACTCACTGGGAAAGGTGTGACATACCTGGCAATTCTTGGCAAATTCTTCTTGAGCATTAAGCCATGTTTAGATGATCTGACACCAGTCATAGAGAAGTCAGAGGCTGATATAGTCCTCAGCCATGGGGTGGGAGAAATGATACTGGGTGGTTATTGAAGAGAATTACTTTTGCAGTCTTTCCTCTTGAAGAGCCTCCTTCAGGCTAATTTCTCAGAGGGAAATGAGCACCAAGGAGTTAGTAGGAGGCTGGTTTTGTGGGACACTTCACCCCTGAGAAGTCATTGTGGAACTAAGGTTTTTTCAGGACTTATGGATGGATGCCCTTGGTATATTTCATCATCCAATGCTTGACTCTCCCCTCATTCTGGTGTTGCTGGTTCCCTGCAGTAGGGAGCCTTACAATACTGCTGCTATTCTCTGCTCGCTGGCATGTGCTTCCCAGGTGCTCATACCCTCCTGCTTCTGAGGCTGACCCTGTGATGACAGCTGCTTGGCTGCCTATCAAAGGTTCCATTTAGAGTTAGCCCAAGAGCAGACAGAAGGCTGCAGTGTTACACCCCGAAATCTGACACAGTGTGCCTTGCCTGCTTTTCAGTGGGTCCTTGACAGCCTTTCAGCTCATGTCTGTCAGACCCCTGCCAGGCACACAAGTTCACTTCCATCTTGGAAGAAGGGGAGAGAGAAGTGACATTTCACCGAGCGGTGGGCACGCCGGGGGATGTAGGGAGATAAGGCAGGATCACAGAAGCAACTGAAATCCCCAGCGGATATTGCGTTGCTGGCTGGATTGACAGGTTAAATGTGTTGCTGGGACAAATATCCCTGCTCCCTCTGTCCCAGAGGACTGTGTAGTGAGAACAGCACTCAATCCTAATGAATCTTGTCCTACACTGGGACCAGTTCTGCTGTAGCCTGGCAGGAGGATGTTCATGGAGAATTTGTTTCCAGATTTCAACAGGAGCTACCAATAGAATGGCTTTTAAAATAAATATGTTCACTTAGCAAACAGCAGCAGTAAACGAACAGAAACACTAATGTGGCCAAGGATGAAACATTAGCATTTTTCAAATCCGTTTAGTGAAGACAGACCCTGGGCACTGGTTCAGGTTCTTGTGTTAGGGGGCTGTTTGCAAAGCACTAAGCTAACTTACAGCCAAAACCTGTCAGCTTCTTCCTGGAGCTCAGGAGGCCAAAACTTGTCTGACTTGTTGACAAACTAAGTCTGGTCTAAAAACTTAATAGCTTTGCATTTCTTTCATCTCAAGGTACTTAGGATACACCAGTCAAGAGCACAAGCTTTAGGTAGTGTTTTGGCTGCTCCAGACTACAGGCAAGGAAAATGAAACAGTTTTGTTCAAGAGCAAGGTGAGGTGACTTGTTTGAAGAGCACCACTTCAGTGACTAAAGATGACCGTGATGTCCTGAAAGGCCTCCCTGTTGCATCACAACAGTGAGCAGCAGATTCAAACAGTCCTGGCTTGGAGAACCTTTCTGCACAGTTGTGAATTGCTCCTGCCCATGGCTCAATTTTCTGGGGAAGTTATTTGTTCAATTGCTAATCTAGCCTTGACTAGTTCATCAGCTGTGGTGGATGGCAGCACAGGATGCCATGGCTGGAGGCTACTGTCAGGCAGAAGCTTTCCACTCTTGGAAAGATATGACTGTATCCTTGGGTAAGGTGAAAGTTGTATGGGGAGCCTTTTCTTTGATGTTATTTGTTCCTACCTGATCTCTACCAGTAAAGCTGTGCCAGCTCTGTCATGTGAGTAGTAGTTTCAGCCCAGCATTCACTACAGAAAATCCCTTGTACAGAAACTAAGTCTAGGGCTCTTGACCTGGGGAAGTGCTGTCAGTCCTCAGGAAATGGATATCAGAATGGAATGAGGGTCCTCCCAAGGAATTTTCTGTGTAGTCAGTGGGGAAACTCTGGTGACCGACTAGTGCATGAACCAAGCTCTTACCTGTAGTTCCCAGACCAGGGCACTGTCCCAGACAAATGAGTGTGTTTCAGGAGAGGGGGAGAGCGCTGGGGGTTGCAAGGGGGAGTCAGTCCTGCTGGGTCAGCAGTAATGAACTTAGCCAATACAGGAGAGTCAGGGGACCAAAGGGCTCTGAGAGTGATGCCTAAGGCCAGGTGGTTTGCAAGGGCAGGGAGAGGAGCTGCACAATGCCTGGGGATGAAATACTAGGCAGACAGGTGGATACAGAAGTGGGGCAGTGACATGCTGTTATCCTGCAGCCAGTGTGGCAAAATTGCACCAAGGCACTGTGTGTCCTGTTACCTGACCTCTCCACGTCACTCTCCATTCCCTGCACATTCCTATACTTGGCAATGGAGGCACTGCCTTTGTTTTGTGATGTGATCTCTGTCCTTTCTTCCAGGTACCATGAACCTGCAGTACCTCCTGCCTGTTGTTAATGCCCAGACTATTCAGCCCCATATCTAGGGTGTATTGTCCATTTCCTTCCCTCCCTTGTTTCACAACCACAGTCCCATTCTGCAGCCCTATTGCTTAGTTCTGTGTGCCGAAGTACCCCTTGCAGTGCCTACCAAGAGTTTAATAAAGATCTACTGCCTGAGTTACCTTTGGCTTTTATAAACCAAAAAATGCAAACAGCTTGTAAGCGGCATTCATTACCGTGCACGCCTTCAGCTGTTTATTGGATACACATCCCCCTCCCTCCAGCATCTCTTTCTTTTTTTAATATGTTTTTTTTTAATTTGTTTTGATGAATGAGTGACAACCCTGACACCCGATTCGCTGAGATTAATAGAAACGACACAATATTTACGTCGCGCCGACGAGCAATTATCCTGCCATCTATCTTTGAGATTATCTTTCTGATTGAAAACTACTCATCCGTGTAATCGGAATTATTTGGAATTAGAAGGGAATTTATGGCCCCTTTCACTCTCCCTCCTATTTGCCTGTGTCTCCATCCTTCTTCCCTCTTCTTTAAGAGGGATCTTTCTTCCTTCATTCCTTCCATACTTCCTTCTTTCAGCCTTGTGGATAGACACATGGGCTTTGCTGTACAAGGATGGTCATTTCTGGAGATGGGGAAGACTGGGCCACATTGTGGCCAAGCAGGCACTGGGGACAGTGAGAACCCACCGAGGCTGGGACAGCAGCTGAGGGATGAAAGACTCTTCAGAAGAAGCTGGCATGGGAACTAGATACATGGAGGATATGAAGCTGTGAAGGCTGAGCAGGCAGCACTAAATAACTGGAGGCACCTCACTTCATTTTCTCTTTTTCTCTTCCTTCCTTATTACTCTGTTTTGAAGATGCCTTTCATTGGCTCACTGCTTCATAAATGTGCTCCTTGTACATTTCTTTTATCTAAGTATTTTTCTGGAAGTATTTTTCCAGGTCACTGTACAGGAGAAGGACCTGTTATTGCAGGCATCTTCCCACTGTGAACCTTTCTGTAGCTGCTGCTGGTGTTTCTGCTTCTTCCACAGTCTGTGGAGACAGCCTGTTGTCCTCCAGTGCATGTGATGGAGAATGGCAGTCTTGCTTCAATACTGTGTCCCCTAAGACAGCTGTCTGTACAGGGCTTCTAGGATATACTTTTGCTTATTTGTCATAGCTTTAAGGAGGTGATAGATGGTAAAAGACCTGTACTATTTTTTCTTACTGGGAAGAGGTCTCTCTTTTGCATTTTTTTCAGAAGCACTAGTGTTTTTTATGATTTTTCTGGCCTGTGATGCAGAAGAAGCAAGTAGTCATGTTGTGTCAGGTCACCGCTAGAGGCAGAAGACACAACTCTCCCTTTTTGGTGATTCCAAGATAGGACAGCAAAATTGTCATATGCTTCTTCTCTTCTCTGGAAGCCCATCTCTAAGCACAGTCCTTAATGAAGCATTTACTACCTTCCCCTTCTCCTGGGTGAAGACAGGAGTGGCACTATCCTACTACATCTGGAGAATAAAATCTGTGATCCATCTCAGTCAGCACTGAGAACTACTCCTCTGTAGAATATTTCAAAAACAGTGCTTTTTTTTTTTTTTTAAATGGTTGTGGCAGAAACAGAGACAGGGAAGTGGATGTCAGGGGAAGTCAAGCAGCAAAGACATTTTAAATGGATACAGTAGCATCTGTGTCCTTTGAGAACCACAGCATGCAAAGTTCCTTGGCTCCTGTGAATCCTGATGGGGAAGAGAGAAAGGAAGCACTGTAGGTTTCTGAACAAGTGCCATGTGCTAAATGAGAGACATAGTCTGAGTGCTGAAGGAATTCAGCCTGAACTCAGTTACAGAGATACCAGCTAACACAGAAGCCAGGCTGCAAAAATATTTGATACCAAGAACAGTGTAAACAGTTAATAACACAAGGATTTGGAAAAGGAAGTGTGCTCTGAGGTACAGTTGCTCCATCAGCTCGAGAGATATAGGTCCAGATGGGAATCCCAGATCCTTCCGCCCAGAAATACCCAATGTTGTTATTAATTAGTATGGAAATATTTTCCTTTCTTGAGAGAGGGCTGTTGAATTGCCAGCGGGATACTGGGGGGATGGGTGTGTGCATGTGTGGGGTAGCCTATCAAGAAACTATTAATTAGGTTACTTCCCACTGCTGTTGACATGCAGGGGAAGGGGGTTGTTTGTGGGCCAAAATAAAAAGGAAGAGAAACTGAAAGACTGAGATTGAGAATGGAAAGCATGAGGAAAAAAAGGAGATGGGTAGGACAAAGAACACAGGCTGAAAGAGGTATGTGTAAAAAGACATTCCTGAGATTCCCAAAGCAGAAGATGAGAGAAATGAAAAACCAGGATATGGTTAGAATCAAACCTCACTCTCAACTCCTTTGAGACAGCAGCAGCATGGGCTGGACACAACCACAAAAGGACTGACTGATCATCTCCTGTCTTGTTACTGGTTTTGTTCATGCTTCCACAGACTTGGCACCAAGGCTTCCTCATGTCAGAGCAGTGATATTTTATGCCAACTGTCACTATGAAACAGAAGAGAATTTAGATGAGAAACTTCTTTGGTTGTGGATTACCTTCCTTTGCTGGCTGGGTCTTTTATCCCCCTCCTTTGGAATAGGTTCTTTATCAGCCTTGATGAATAATCATAAAAAATATTCATTGGAATTGCTTGGCTTTCTATATATATTCAACCACTTAGTAGTTTTATCATGGTCTTTTTGCAGTCTCTAGCTCTGTATTTCTGGTTCAGCCCTGGGAGAGGGCTGAATGCAATAGTGTATCCCTGTATGTAAGCAGTAGGTGCTGCATTCGCAGTTCTGAGAGAGTTCCAGGACAAGAAAGAGATAAGAAATGTATGTGAGATTATGGGTTAGAATAAGAGAAGGATCTATTCACAGAGGGAAAAGAAAACAGAGCAAGTGGGTTACCTAAAAATATCAGTGCAGGCTCCTGGCTCCCTTGCAGAGGGAAGAAATCAGTGCAGTTGTGATTATTCAGAGAAAGTGTTTTGGGTTTGCAAAGTGGGAGGAATGTAGTGATAAGACAAAGACACAGAATTGATACCTCATATGGGACCACACAATCCAGATCTTTTTATTCTGTGGTATGCCTCTAGAGAATGTAGCTGTCTGCTGCATTTTCTTCCAAGAAACCTGTCTACTATTGGAACATGCAGAGGATCTACCCACCCTCCTTGGAGTAATAGAGCACAGAAGGAAAACAGCTATCCAGATTGCAGCCTACCATCACCACTTCAAATGTTCCAAGAGATCTAGAGTGAACAAGGGTGGTTTGAAATGGAGAAACTGGTAAAAAGAATCACTAAATCTGGATGAATTATTTGGCTTTCAGTTTCAGAGCTTTGTGTGCAACAGTACACAATTTATCAGCATGTGATTGTTTTTAGTCCATGCACATCTCAGGGGCCAAGGAAACTGTTAGCTCTAAATCTGCCACCAATTACAGAATCCAGGAGCACTCATGAAGCTCTTACCTACTCTCTTCCTATGCTTCATGTAAGGCAGATTAGGGTTGAGGTGGGGTGATGTTCATCAGCAAGGAGGGATGTGGCAGCACAAGAAGAGTGAAGCAGGAAGAAGCTGAGCACTGCACAGGTGAGGGCTACTGATTCCACATTCAGCTCTTTCTGGCCTTGGTTCCTTGTGGGTGTCACTTGTCTGTCTGGTTTGGTTTTGTTTTTAAAGAAAATTAAATACAGATAATTGTGTTCCCTAGAAAAATGCCCTTTTTAATTTGAATTTATTGTTAGGCTTGTTTTTCTAAGGGAATACTGAGTATGTGATTGCACTGGTTAAGTCTGTGTAGCTATTTAATCTGTTATCTAATTTCAAATGCATTTTGCACCCAGTCAGAGTCTGAAAGGTATTAAGTTCAGACAAGTTTCATGAAATAGGTGACAGGTAGAGACCTTATTATTATACCTTAGGGAAAGACTGCAGGATGAGCTTATGCTTATTAGAGTCCAGGAAATCCACATGGGACAGGGACTGTCCAAATGCCCCAATTACAGAAGAGTTCAGTTGAGGCTCACATCTTAGTGTGGGTGCATCAGAGGATCCATTGTTTGGCCAGTGTCTTGCAGATTCTCTAGTGAATAGTAAGGCATGAGCTTCCTTCTTTTTGGACATTCATAATCCTGCTAATTCATGTGGATTCCCTGGAATTCAGTAAGAGGTGAGTAACAGTGCAGCCCCTGTATAGTAGAGTTAAAAAGCCAGTCAAAGACAGCAGAGAAAGCTATTGCAAACAAGGTATCTTTGTTTCGGATAGAAGATTCTTAAAGAAGTTAAGTTGAAGTGCAGATATAAAATTGATGATGTCTGTACTGGCTGTGTCTTCTGCCCTCAACTTATGTGTGCCCCAGTTTTCATCAGACTCTTTGAGTACTGGTTTCACTGTGATTTTGGATCCCAGTATAGTCAACCTGGTCCAGTTCTGGAGTGAATATTACTTTATTATGACATACTTAGTTCAGCATAGGTTCTTTGGATATGTAAGCTAGACTAAAAATGAATGTGGTTATAGTTACATAATTTTTTTCAGTGAAATATTCTTGAATATCTTGAAATGAGATAGTTACATTTGCACAAAAATGATGGGAACCAGGCCTCAAATTACAAAGTATATCCAGTAAAGACCATATTTGCATACTTACAGATGCGTGGTGCTAAATGTCAAAGGACCACAAGTTCTGAACGCTGCTTATAATAATAATAATAATAAGACCAATAACCTAAAAGTCTGTCTGGGGAGTCACCACAGCGTGTCTGTAATTAGTTGAAGTAAAAATTATCATTTATGAGGCATCTGGAAACATTAAGTCTCAGAGATGAGCAGTACCTATGTAGTCATCTCTGTCATGGCACAACCTTAATGACATTTTTGCCTGTGAACTTCCTTACTTTTGTCTGCTCTGAACACTAAATAAAGGTAATGGCTGAAGAGCTTTAGTTTGCAGTCTTGCCATTACCTAGCCCACTCAGGCTGTCCATGACTCACTTAGCAATGTTATAGGTAACAGGTAACATTTTGCAAACATAATGTAGCAATGCAGAAGCAGTTTCTCCACACAGTCTCGCACATTCTGAAGAAGGAGCTGAATAAGAGTTTGCATTTATGGAGGATCTGGCTGTAGAAATCACCTTTGAAGGAGGGAATCAGTTCAGGGCGAGGAACTGCTTCCTTGTGGCTTTGGGCATCAAGCCTTGTTTGCTTGTTTACTCTTTGATTAAGCTCCTCTAGAATGAGTAACAATTATTCCAAGTTACTGCCACCACTCAAAACAATACCAGTTAACACAGAAGACTTGAAAATAATTCTTTAAAAATCGAGTGTTTTGTTAAATTTCATAAAAGAACCACAGAAATTTAGGAAAATATTTATTGAGGAAAATATTGCTAATACCATCAAGAAATATGAAATGACCCATGATTACGAAGTCCACATGCCTCTAAATTGGAGTCTCATTTTCTGCCTAATGACCAGTGAGAAAATGAAAAATAAATTAACTTTTTTTTCCAAACATGAACTGTTTTCTTTGATAACTTAAGAAGGAGACATGAAAACCTTTCCACAGGCTATATGTTTCCTAACATCCCATTTTTACAAATTTAAAAATGCAAATAATAAATAAGTGGCAAAAAAAATTCTTTGGGAGAATGACACGTGTAGCCTAACAGCTTTGGAGAACTTACAAAGAGAAGAAGATAGTCTGTACTTCAAGTTTCCATGGGGGTTCACCAGGCAAATGAATTCCAGGATCTCATGGCATGGTACATAATATATTAAAGAAAAAGAGGTTCTGTTCTTGTCTATATCACTTAGGGTGTATTAGCTCAGTGATAATTCAGCTTAGATACAATCTCATATATGCTTTGCATTTGAATTAATATAGCCTGCACCTCATCTGGATATAAAGTCCAAATGAATGAGGCTGTCTTTCTGCTGAAATCCAAACCAGCTTGTTAGGAGCATGCTCAAGTAGCCCTATGTAGCTTTGTTTTGCTAATGTACCTTTATTTGCTGTGTGGCATAAAAACGGGACTTCTCCTGGAGTTCCTGTTAGCTGTCAGCAAAGTGATACTGCGGCCCAGCCTCAAAAACATGCACAGGGCGGAATCCAACACTTCTGGCTCAGAGCTCATTGTTGCACAGAGGTGGTGGAGGAAGGCTGTGATTTCATAGTGGGTGTTTTTCTCCAAGCTTGTAAGCACAGGACAGTTGTTGGTACATGATGTGTCAGGGAAGAAGCGACTATGAGTGCTTTAGATCTTCCTCCCTGTGCTCAGTGGGCAGTCACAGCAAGGCGGTGTATGAGTGTGTGAGGCCATGCCTGTGACACATTCCTTATGGGAGGGAACAGAAGAGGAGCTGGGCCTCACCTCCCAGCTGCAGCAGGGCCCTAGGCAGGAGCCATGGAAGGGACTGGTTATTCCAGGTGAGGACAGGTCCAGGTGTGGCAAGAGCACAGACTAAAGCAACAGCAAGGGACTGAGCAACCAAATGTCTGCATCTGGAACACGAGCTCGACAGAAACCTTCCTCAAGCAGCTGTTTCCAAGGGGCTCTGGGTAAATCCACTTGAAGTTAAGAATTTGACAGATTTTTTTTTTCCCCCTTCCTTCTCACTGCTAAGCCTTGGTGAATGTGACATCTTTTTACAGGGGGTAGGTGGGGGTGGGGATGAGGACGAGAGTTTGGAGGGTAATATAGCTTGCTATGGACTGTGCTGTACCTGATCTCCAGCTCAGGTTCCAGCAGCTTTGAATACTTGTGATGAACTGCAGGACAGCTTTGAGCCCAGAAGGGGCCTATAGCACTTCCAAGAGCACAGAAGGGGAGGAAGAAGGGGAAGAAGGCCACGGAGACATTATAAGGGGGATGCTCTCTGTGGCACATGCCAAGATTGTCTGCAGAGGAAGTGTTGATGGTTTGGCTCTTTCTCAGCCTCACGTTCTGTTGGCTGGCATCATGTGGCTCTTTTGGGCTGTGGGGACAGCTGTGGTGCACTTGTCTGAACACCTGGCACCTTATCCCAGTACCGCCTGGCCCTACCAGCTCTCTGCTGGGACCATGTGTGTGTCCCTTCCTTCACGTTCTCTCAGCGCAAAGCATCTTCAGACCAAATCCTGAGTGAGCGAAACAAGCACTAAAGACCTGCAGCTGCACAGACTTCCCCTAGAGCTTGTCTCCTTTGTGTACTGTAGCCTTGCTCGTTCATGTGGGATGAACTCCATGCCGAGTATCTGAATTTTTGGCTGCCTGGAGGGTAGAGGAAAGGAACGCTAAATCCTTTGTCAAACTCTTCTTTCTTTCACATATGGGTAACTACATTTATAGAAAAGGCTCTTGCCATTTCCCCCTTCCCTCTCTTCACTCTCTTAAAGAGGAAATGCTCTGAGTTTTGAGGTGCTCCAGGCTGCAGAGCAGGAAGGGTTCAGGTTGGGAGAGCTTTCAGAGGTGACTGGCAACACTAAGATAAAAAAATGACTTGAGGTGATAGAATGAGGGGGCAAAGGAGACTGCAAGAGAATTGCAGTAATAGGAAGAAACCACCTCAGCAGAACTTGCTATGGTTAGCTTAAAGAAAGAAAGAGACAAGGGAGAGAAGGCTACTACCTGGGTCTGTACCTGTTCAACATTTTAAAAGGACTTAGAGCTCTCTGCCAAAGGCCTGGCAGCCATGTAATGGGCTCAGAAGTGGTTTTAGATGGCACAGAGCAGAGAAGCTTTAGTTGGAAATGCAGACTCCTGTTCCCCTAGAGGTGCAAGGGAGTCTTGTAGTTTCATGTGCTAGGGAGATTTCTGGGTGGGGGGTGAGTAATACTTAGCCAGACGTTTTGTGTTTGATTTACCCACAGTGAGGGAGTGTATTCTGGTGGCAGAACTTCATTGCCAGCAAGGGAATTGAGGCAGGCATCTGCATATACTTTGCCGTGTCTGTAGAAGTCATGTGTGCCCTCAAGTGCCTCCCAAACAAAATTATTTTGTTTCCTCATCAGTCAGGATTTGTAGATAGCAGGTTTAGTGTCATCTGTGTGGGAAAGTAGTCTCTCCCATAATACCTAGTACTGTTCAGGGTTATTTTTGGTTGCCTGTCTTCTCCTACCTGTCCCTGTGGCATATCCAGCACAAAAGCCATAGCAACATCACCCAGAGATCACCTGGCCAGGAGCACTAGCTTGACCAGGTCTTGGGTACAGAGGGAGAGCTACTGAAGGAAGCAGAAGTTTTTCCATTGTGACACAATGTAGTGGGCTGACCTTGGCCAGCTGTGAGCTGCATTTCCTTCAGGGAACATCCACCTGCTGCACCATGCCGTCAGCAGGGGCATGGGGGACTGTGCTTCAGCACCTCGACTGCCTCCTCCCCTCCTGCTCTGACCTGAGTGCCTGTGGGGCCGTTTCTCACTCCTCACTGCCTGTGCAGTGTTTTCTGCCCTTTCTTAAACATGTTTTCCCCTGTGCACCACCATCTTGGCCGAGGGGCTCAGCCGTGCCCTGTGGAGAGCGGGTTGGAGCCATTTGGAACAGGCCGCATCAGGCAGAGCCCGGCCTCTCCTCACTAGGGCTGCCCTGCAGCCACCCCGCTGCCAACACCTGGCCACAGACACCTGGTGTGGGTGTGCTGAGTGACCCTTGGCTGATAGTATTTTGAGCTGCACCTTCTCCTTAGACTGGTGAGACTGGTGAGGGCTCTTTCTGACACAATTGATGTGGTGGGGAGGTCAGGCAGGACTGAGATCAGTGGTGTGGCTTTGGAGTGGACTCATGTAGGACCGGCTGCAGAATTAGTCTTTCCTCACTTTAGAAGCTGCAGACTTTGCACAGCACCTCACTTATTTTTGAGAGCTCAGCTGAGTTGTGCCAGCCTGCTGGCATGTCCTCAGTGGGAACGGGGTAGGTGAAACCCCTCAGCTTCCATGCAGAGGGCTTCTCCTGGAAAAGCTTACTCTTCATCTGTGTGTCTGCAGGCAGAATATCCTCTTCTTCTGAGGAATTTCATCAGTTATTTCCCACCATTTTTATTTTAAAAAAATTACCTTTTAATCAAGCAAGACACACAAAGAATATGGAGCCTGTCCTTGCAGAGGAGAAGAGAGAGCACTGACAGCCTCCTGACACACAGATTTGGAAAATGGTGATGCTTTTTCAAGGGAGCTGAGCTAACAGTTTGGCTGTAAGGAGTTTAGATCTGGAGCCAGACATCATGGTTAGGCCTGTCTGTGGTTATAAAGTAGTTGTTTGGGTTTTGTAGAAGTTGTCTGATGGAATCTGAACTAAGTACAAAACAAAAACCCAAGGGGAAGCTGTTTCTGGCAATCCTGGTCTCTCTACTTGATCTGGCGCCAGAGATGGCTTAAATCTCACTTTGTCCTCCTCCTCCTCGTATCAGAATTGGTACCAGCTCTATTATGACAGTTACCATGCTTCCTCTCGGTCCCCACCAGGCCAAGGTCACTGAGAACATGAAACAGTATCTCTTGCCTGAAGCCGACCCTAGTAGGCTGCTGGGCTACTTTGAGATTTGTCTGAGTACACAGCTAATGCCCTGCCAGCACAGGTGTGGACTTGCTGGTGCTAAACAAGGTCCTGAGCAAGTGGTACAACAACAGTGATGAGTTTCTGTGAAGCATCTGCAGCAAATGGAAAGTGCAGGAGGTGCTTGCTCCAAATGATGCAATTGACAGCCCGGCGCTGGAGGAATGCATTGCAGCGTGCTGCTGGAAGAGGATGGTGGTGGTTTCCAGTGAGTGAATATCATGGTTGCATAATTTAGGCAGGAGTACATCCAAGAATTCTTATTCTGTTGTTTTTTGTTTTTTTTTCATAGGTGCAAACACAGAAGCTCTTTTAGGCAAAGGCTGTGTAGTAGGAGTGAAAGTTTAGAATGGATCTAAGTGAGGTAAAGGTAGAAGAGACTATTATCATACTGTGTGTGATAGACTGACAAAAGCTGTGTATTTAAATGTAACACAGCATATGATTCTACTAGTGCTTGCAGGCTTTAGTTAAATCCTTACAGATTTTATTTCTGTGTGTACATGTAGAACTGAATGCTTGCTCTGGATAGTTTCTGAACACACTCTGGTATGTGTCTTGTTGTTCAGGCCAAGCTATTTTTCATTAGTGTATTGTTATTACTGGTGGACTCAGAAAAACGAGGGAGAGGAGCATTCTTCTGTGCTTGCTTTTGTTCTTCTTCAAGCCAATGGCATAACCTCAGCTTGAGTAGCCACAGATGCTGCCTCTCCACAGTCTAATTTTACAAATAGCTGTGCCAGGTGAAGACTTTTCTCTGCCCAAACGTCTGAAAATGAACGAATAGACTTGGGTGCTGCCTAATCCAGGAAAGTTCCTTAGTTCCTAGCTTGACATGCTTTACTTGTATCTATGCAGAAAGTTTGAATATTCCCTTCTGCCAAAGAACTGTTAGAGTCCTTATCTCCAGCTGGCCAGCAGCTAGCCAGTGCTAACACCTTTAGCTGGAATGGTTAAATCTGGTAGGGGGTGTGTGTTAAAAGCTCAGTCATTTTGACATTCCTGAAAAATAGCAAAATATATAGGAACTAAAGAAGGAGCTTTACAAGTTTACAAGAGTATTAACAGAACAGTGTGACTTTCCCTGCTGATGACAGAGACTTGACATGGCAAATGGCATGAACCATCCTGGAGGGTTCATGAAAACACTGGATGCAAACATATGAACTCTGTGCTCAGTGTGTGCAAGAAAAATGCCCTGTTATGGCTCTTGGTTGCACAGAAAAAGAATATTGAAGCAATATGAAGTTTATGGCATTATAATCAAATAAGGAATTAAAAAACACTAATCTTGCAATAATATCAGCATTTTCCTCTTGAGCAATTGCTGGTTTTCAGACTATATTGTATCAAAATGCATAGTATATTTAACATCCTATTAGATGTAAGAGTCATACTATATGTGCCAAGCACCCAGAAGAGAGTTGCTATTCAAACTTTTTCATTCTTTTATCTTTTACTTCTTGTCTTGTAATTTTCACAGTCAAGAAGAAGTCAGGAAGAAGACTTGGTTTTGGGGTTTTTACATTAATTTCCTTTATGCAAAAAAACTAAAAAAATCATTTTTAGAACATATTTTTTGGCATGTAACTAGTCTCTGTTTGAAATCTGTGCAATTCCCACCTCTCTAAATCCAGCAGGGCACTAACACAGCTATTTAGAAATTTTGGGTTTGTGAGGCTTTTTCAAAGTAGCATGACTCTGATGAAGAAACTTTTTATTGTGTGTTATAATTATTCTTCATAGTTGGTGGCTAGCCTTGGAAACTGCAAAGCTGACTTTCAGTTTATCTTTTAATACTTGTATTCATACCTGCATTTCCAGATATAAAAGCAACAGTGACTCTGAGCTCTAAACTTACAATGTGTAAATCTGATTTGCACCAAAGCATCTTGAGGCACATGGGAGAAGGGACAAAGATTATCTGTATGGTTTAATGTATGGGTGGAGGCAACTGGAAGATTACATTGATTGGACCACTATTTTCAAGCTTCAACTGTTTTTGCTTTGGCCCTATTTAAAAAGGGGTATCTGTGAATTTTTGTTTGTCTTTAAAAGGAAAGTATGTTTTGCATTCTTCTATCATAGCTTGCACGCAGCTGAGCAAATTCTGCCCAGATTTATATGTGTGAGACTCAAACTCTGTGTCTGAAAGAAATTAAGCACTGAAATTTTACCTCCACTGTAGAACTGAGGATCTGAGACTGAAATACAGATGCATGATCAAACTGGCCCTAGCAAGAAGCATTTTAAAAAATACCTTCCCAAGCAACAAGTAGAAAATACCACAAAACTGCACTTGCACTTTACAATGGGTAAAGGGTACCTCAAGCGTACCTTGTACTTGGGTACCTCAAGGAAAGGGGTGAGCCTTTCTAGAGTTTACAAGGCACTAATGTTTATCTTTGTAAATTTTTTTGTTTTGTTTTTAATGTATCTGAAGGTGCTTTTGAAATATTTTGGCTTTCTTTTGCAGAGTTTTGAGTGGGCATTCAGTCTCACGGCCTCCACTCTTGGATTCTTTACCTGCCTCTCCCTGAGTCTAGAGTCTGGAATTAAGTGGTGTTTGTGCACAAGGGTGCTGGCAGTGGGGGTGGGGAACTTGTGTTTGAAGTTTTATCTAAAGCAGATCTTCTATGGATTGCTGGGTACCCCACTGGGGTGCAATTAAAGTTATACATCCTGCTGTCTAAAGGCAGAAAGGAAGGATGGAGGAATGCTACTCCATTCGAAGTTTATTCACACTAGTTAACTGTGGCATGCTGTCAAAACCTCCTCTCTTCACCCTTCAAGCAGAAAGTGGAAGAATAGGGTTCTAGTGTATGGCCGGGGCTTCTTCTGCTGTATAGGTATGGGATGCTAGTGATAACACTGGACATGGACCTAAGAACTGAATAGAACTTTCCAGCTACCTGCTTGAGACTTGCCCAAAAAATCCTTGTGATTTAGACTACATCATGGGTTTTCCCACCAGAGCATCAGTTTAGCCCATAACAATGTAAGGGGGCAGGGATGATGCTTTTCCATTCAACACAAAGCTTGACAGAGTAGAATTTGAAGAACTTTAGATGTCAGCAATGTAACAGCAAAGAACAGTCTGGCAGTTAAAGCTGAGTTTTTCAAAAGTGACTTTTGGATTTTGGTTTTGGGACCTTGATCTGCCTTCATCTGCTGTGCCTCAGCCTGATTATTCTCTGTACTGAGTGTCTAAAATTCCTTCTGATGGCAATGGGTATTGTAAAAGGTTTTACAGCTCTATTAAAGCCCCTAAACATCTTGTACTAGCCAGCCCAGATGAGAGGGCAAAAATATTTTTTTTTCTTTGTTTATCAGGTAATTTTTGATCTGAGATCTGATTCAACTAGGTGAAGGACCAGAATCCAGCAGGCAATTGAGGGTGTGTTTCCATGCTGGAGCTCAGCCTGTCAGATACTTCCCCTCCACTCCCCTTCATTTGTAGGTCTTCATCTGTAGCTATCAAAGTGCTTTAAAGCACAGTGTTAAGTATTGTTATCTCTGTTTTTTTAAAGCTGAGGGATATGCAGCTGTGGTAAAGTGACAAGCCAGACCTCACACAGGACAGTAGCTCAACTGAAGAAAATGACTGATCGTCATGAGTCTTTGCCCAGTGCTTCATCAGACCCCTCTCCAGCAAAACCAGCTTTTTTTAGTAAAACTCCTTAACTTAACCCTAATCCTACCAGCTTAGACACAAAGGACACTGACACTGACGAGGTGAATTAAGCATGTAGTAGGATTTGGCCAAAAAAGACACAGGAAATTACTGTGTCTTCCTAGATAGTCAATAGCTGAAATTGAATGAGACCTTGACTCCGATGTGGTGGGTCCTTGCTTTGATTTGGGATAGCTGCTCTTGTTTAGCTAACTTTCTTTACTCCAGTAACAGCAGCAGCTGCAGTGTGGTGTAGACATGCCTAAACTAGCTTAAATAGTTCAGGTACTGCTAGCCACTGAGCCAAAGAACCATGGAGTTCAGCATGGCTTGGTGCCTGAGGATTTTATCCTGCTCTTTGTGAGTTTAGCATTTCTTTACCATCTCAGCTAAAGCAAGCCTAGCAATATTTTGAAAAGAAGGCTGGTGGGTCTGGTACCCTCCCTGCACTCATACTTTTTTCAGCAGAAGTGAGCGTGATGCTAGGGTTGATTGTAGGAGATGTTGCCTAAGACAGCAGTGTCATGAAAGCTGTTTTGGCTCTCCCTGCCTACTATTCTCCCTCTTCTTCCCCACTCTTCCACTGGTTTTCATCATTAGTTGCCTTGCCTTCAATGCCGTTTGCTATGAAGCTCCCTAGTCACTAAGGTTCTACTGGAGATCACGAGTATCTAGGAGCTGGCAAAGGCTTGGAGAAACAGCTGCCTGCTGGAAAGGTTACTGGCCTTGCCTGACTGTATCTCTAACTGGAGAATCTGGAGGGACTAAATATAGGAAAATCCAGGTAATGAGGACCAGACCAGAAGCATTTGTGATGTGTTCTCTCAAGTCACTCTCCAGATGGTGGGCTCCCAGCTCAGCCTCTGTAAGAGAGTTTTGCTGATATCTGTAACTCATCACTTTCTCGTGGCAGCCAAGGACTTAAGCAGAAATGAGGGTTCAGGTCCTTGAGAGCGAAGTAACTTCTGCTGAGTCAATAGGGAGGTACCATCACTGCCCTCAGTTTTGTTTGCAGGAACAGCCTCATCAAATAGTGTTTGTGGGCAGAGACCCTTAGTAGACTGCCGAGCTGTTAAATTGCCAACCTACCCACTAGTTTATTCTGCAGCAGAAATACAAGCATGCCTGGACCAACCCCCAGAGCTCAACTCTGAACTGCTCTCTCGTTCTGTCAGAATTCCCAGCTTGTTTTGAAAATGGCATTTATTTTTGTTAAATTGCAAAAGAGTTGGATGCAGTCTGCTAGTTGTGTTTTGCCTCTCCTTCTTTGTGCATTGAATTTTGTTCATTCACTTTACATGCCTCAAGTTGCTGTAATGCTGCTGGGAAAGTAATTGCCTTGCACTTTCTCTTTCTGATGCCCACGGGTGACTGTGGGGGACTCCTCCCTGGGCACAGTGCAGAGTTAAAAGCCCAGCTTTTGCTGCTTTGCTTAAGACCTGGTTATTTCTTTTCTTTTTTTTTTCCTTTTTTTTTTTTTTTTTTTTTTTTTTTTTTTTTTTTTTTTTTTTTTTTTTTTTTTTTTTGTCAGCTGCCTGTTATATCAATCACAGAGCTGGGATCTATTTATAGGTTGGGACTCAGAGTACTGTGTCCTAGTCACAAAGAGAGGCAGAGACGCAGAGGGGACTGTCGGCTGGTGCAGGCAGAACCAAAAGATATTTAATCAGCAATTAGAAACACCTGAGGGCAAGGGAAATTCTACTCCAGCCTCGAGCCTCATCTCTCAGCCTGCAGCATGTAAGTAGCGAACTTCTATCTTTTATTGCGTTTATGGGCTTGTGTTTTGTTTCCTTTTTTTTTTTTTTTTTTTTTTTTTTTTTTTTTTAATCCAAGCATTGCTCTGCACAAATCCTTTTATCTGGTCTAAAAATTGTGGCAACATCTTGGTATAGTTAAAGGTAATAATTTTTTCGATTTTCACTCTGTCAAAGGAAGGTCAGTGCGACCCACAAGCAGGGGAGTTGGTTCAGAACTTCGTAGAAATCAGGCAGTTTCTCTATTTAAGTGTGGCTTTTTCCTCTGGAAATAAGTAAATGAAAGTTTGAGTGGAACAGTTTTGTTTTGGGAATAGAAACAGTCAGGTTTGCTGGCATTCCAAAAAGGTCAATGTATAACGTAACTCTGCTTAAGGGCTTACCAAGGACAGGTGCTATTTATCCCATGCTGGTAAAGGCAAACCTGGAAACTTTAGCAGTCCTGTCTTAGAAGAACCAAGTGAAAACCTTCTCCCTATTAAAAACCCAAAACCCAGTACCCCCACAGCTGCATATCAAATCTTTTATCAGACACATGCAATGAAATTTTGCTTTTACTAAAGGCATTTATCATTGAGCAGTTGATATTTCTTTAATTTTAGAAGTTCCAAAGCAACTGAAGTATCTTCAATGACAAAAGAGGGGTGCAAGTCTTAGCAAAGTTGGCACAGTGATAATCAAAGAAGGAGCTTACTCTCTCATTACCAATGAGATGTTTGCTTTAAAGCAGCCAAGATGTAAAATGTTTGAACAATGATATGTTTTTGGAGTATTTTTATTAACAGAAATATGAAAAGAGGGAGAACAATAATTAGTCAGAAAATGTTTTTTATTAATAGCTTTTAGTAGAAATATGAAGAGAGGGAGAAAAATAATGACTCTGAATTTTTTTGTTAATAGCTTTAAGTATAATATTTTTGTCAAAATATAAAGGGGTTTTTCTTGTTTCATATTTTTGCTTCAGAGGTTTGTGTTACATCATTTTATGCAATTTAGGGTTAATATAAATTTCTAAGTATAGGAAAATAACCTTGCTATATCTACTCCCCAAAACCTTAATATTACAATTTTAATTGTGGTATGTCAAGTTTTTTAGCATAAATTTATCACTAAATATATGCTCTAGAAAACTTTTTTTCCCCCACAATTTACCATTTTTGAGGGTAACAATAAATTAAATGCAGCAAAACTTAAAATAATTTGGAGGAAAAAGTGACAAATAAAAACAGAGTAATAGTACCACAGCTACCTCACCGTTAAAACATCAGGTTCTGAAAAATGCCTGATAGATGAATTTGTTGGATTGACTGTAGAAGGGTGACAAATAGGCTTCTTCTTTAGTTCTTTGTTTTGCATTCCTTCGATGTATATTTTATAATACTTAGAGTATTTAGCTTAAGTACTAGGAGTAAAAAATATTGTCTACATATTAATGCTTTCTAAGTTTTTAGCCATTGATATGAATACTCCATCATTCAGCTGGAATTCTGATATAAGGATGGCTTTTAGGAGAATATGGATAAGCCAGGTGAATTAATGTGCCCACATAATGCCCGAAATATCATTAGAACACATTACCTATTATGAACCCTTTTTTCTCACAAATAAAACAAAACTGTGATCGTTGTCATCATATGAAGCTTCATTTTGATTATTAAAGCTTTTTGCTTTACTTAAAAATGGATGCATTTAAATTATTTAAGTCCTTTTCTGTTTGTTTTGTCATGATATTACATTTATTGCTTCTCTGTGATAATGAAATGTTATTTTGTAATAAAAGGAGAGCAGATTTTTCTGAAAAGCATTAAAGGACTAAAATTGCTGACTCTGGAACTAACAAAGAATCTATCATATAGCTGGTCTGAGGTCCCACTAAGAATTAAAAACCAAGAGACATTGCTGAAAAAAAAGATAAATAATTATTTTCTTCCATACACAGAACCAATATTAGCATGACTATGCTTGGAAATAACTGCAACCCCCCCCCCCCCCCCCCCCCCCCCCTCATTTACCATACATTTTCACAGAAATCTGAGCATCCCCAAAGAAGTCTTCCAAGAATAAAGCTATACAAAATTCAGTCTTAAGAATTTGTTTGGACATTTCTGTAGTTGTGTCCACATAATTGCTGGACTTTATCCTTCTCTTTCAAACACATGTGAATATTTTTCCCTGTTACCTGCCATATCTTTTTATTACTGCTTTGGAAAAAAAATAACCAAGCACCTACTGTCCTGTGGCATAATCATCAATGCTTTCTCATACTGCTTTTATTTGGAGGTAAGGAGTTACCTGTGGTTAAAGGGAACACCAATGCATTATGTAGTAGAAAGTGTTTGTTATTTAGTTTCTGCTTCACTAATGATTCACATTTTGTGGACTAAGCACCTATCAACCTCCAAACTATCTTACTGTACATATGCTATTGCATGATTTCTTTTTATTCCTTAAAAAACCCAATAAATATCTTTTGTTTCATCCCAGTTTATTTGTTTATTTGACTGCAAAGTAATGATTGACATGCAGATTCTCTTTTCCACGCCTCTCCTTTCATTGCTGAGTATGACATCTCTTGGGAATTATAAATAAAACCTGTGCCAAATCTGCTGCACAGGTGTCTGGAGTACAGCATGCTCAGGTGTCTCACAGTAAATCCCTGAGAATATGAAGTAAACACAAGCAGGATAAAAATACTCTTCCTGAAACAATTCTGTGTTTTGAGGGGCCTTCTGCATAAACCCCCCAAAGCCAGCAGCCAGTTATTAAAGACTGTGTAGCTCTCTCTCTCTTACCTTTTTTATCACTTTACCTGTACATCTGTCCATCTATTTCTCATCTATTTTTACATTTCATTATGCTGTGCTTGCTCTCCAGCTCTCTTCTTTTCCTTTCCTGAAGACACATTTCTATCTGGCACAGAAAATAAACTCAGATTGCGGGTAGTTATGTTAATCTAATTCAATCCTCTGTGGGCTAGGAGTGAAATTCTAATAGTGGAGCTGTTGAGGGCTTTTTTGTTAATGGCTTGGGGATTACATTGAGTTAAAGGCTCATTTCCTAATCAAACAGAGAGGGAGAGAGTGACTCCGAATATTTATGAGTCTCCCAGCGCGAGTTAAACATTGAACTCCAAAAGCAGGATTTCAGTGCTGCAAGAAAGAGTTAAAACCCCTCAGGGCTGCTGTGGAGAGGGAACAAAAAAAAAAAAAAAGGAAACCAGTTAAGCCATCAGCATTTTCAACTGCTGTATAACTTCAGTTTGAGAGAAAATAATCATCTCACGAACTAAAATGGAAACTGTAGCAAGATATTTAAAACAAAGTCAAGTGATGCTTCAAAAAGGCTCTTCTTCAGTGAAGCAGGATGCATGCAGTGCATGAAGCCGCCTAACAGAAACTCCAAATAAATACTCTTCTAAATGAGAAGGATTGGAGGGTGGGTTGCCTTTTTATTATTAATGCCTGGAAGACACAACTTAATTTTTTAATGCTTTTTGGTTTTGTTTCTACTTAACTCTTTGGTCACCTTTTCCTTAAAAACGAAAAAAATATAAAGTATGGATGTGTCAATATCTAAATCATTCTACTTCTGTTCTGTAGACTGGTACCTTTTGAGGCATTTTTCTGTCCCTTAATTTTGCTGGAGTCTTGCATCAAATAATCTAGTTGAAGAACTGTATTTGCTGTGACAGGAATGATTGACCAAATTAGTGCCTGATTGCTTTTGCAATGAGTTCATCATATATGCGTGGGCAGCTTGAGAAGACCTTTCTGTTGCTGAAAAAGAGCAGGCCTTCCTGCCTGCAGCAAGCCCAGGACCTCTGTGTTGTTGCTAAGGCTTGGTGTGTTGTGAACTAGCCAGCAGTAAGCTTTTTTTTCTCTGAGCTGGGACTTAGAAAATTTGTCTGCAGCAGGTGAACTGCACAAAATCAAGACTGTGCCACTCTTCTGAAAACAGATCCTGGAAAGGAATGGGGACAGAAACCTGTTGTTTTCTGACACATGGCCAAGTCATATATCTGTATTCCTCAGTTTCCCTGTTTGTAAAATGATATGTGGCTGCCATCAAAATAACTCCAAGATCTACAATCTTCTATAAATCCCAAGTGGCCGATTTGCCCATGGGAAAAACTGTGAATCACTGACATAGGTGCATAGTTGAAAAGAAGAGGGTATGTACTGGGAACAAGAGTTGACCCCCTTCATTTTATTTGTTGTTGTTGTTTGGTAGGGGTCTTGGTTTGTTTGATTGCAGTTTTTTAAATACATTTCATAGTAGCCACCAATAAGGTTTTCTGATTTTGGCATAACAAGCAAATAGAAGACTAACTTACTTCTCGTGTAACATTCAGTGGTGTTGTCCTATATACTAGGTCTGAGTTTAGTCGTAGTGACCCTGGCTGAGATGAAGCTCCAGGTTTATTCAAAAGTGGTAAGCGCTGGCTAAAAAAGTAAGTCACTGTTTCATCTGCAGCCATGTGTATCAATGGTCATCCTGTATGCCCCAAACTTGGCATTTTTGCTGACATGTCTATCTGGATGTAGCACCTTGAGGTAAGATTTGGCACCTTGCCCTAGTTTAAAAATTATTTAAAACTGCGACCTGATGTGAATGCCTGAGGCCCCTTTCTCTTTTGTGCTCTGTGCCTGGACCTGCTGAGGAGCACCATCAGCTAGAGTGTACTTTATTATATGCATTTGAAATACATATTAATAGTGTTACCCTCTAATCACTGGAATCTACAGCAGATCACTTTGAAACACAAGCTTTCTGTGGCTGAGCTGAAAACTGTGTAACATTTTTTTTTCCTGCCTTCTCTTTCCCATCACGGTTTCCTATCTTTTTGCCTCAGTCTTTTCCTCTCCTGCACTATTCTGCTGTGGCCAGTTTATACTTAGATTTCCCCTGCTGACCTTTCAGGCAAAATACAATTCTTTCTCCTCTTCTTGTCCTTTCCAGTGCTATGCTGAATCTTATGAATGA